AAAACTGGGCGAATTTCACGTAGCCCATCCGGTCACAGTGACCTAAGTCAGAGGACAAAAAATATTTTTTTTTTCACTTACAGAACTATTTCAAAAAATGGACCATTTGCTGAACCAAAATGAAAAATGAGGTGACTTAAAGGACGAAAAACCTTTTTTGTCGCTTGGTATGACTCTACATAAGGTATCTACATTTCCTTTCGGCCTAACAATATAATAATTCACTTCAAGTATATTTGGACTAAAAATAGCTAATTTTGAAATATTTTCACATGCACTTATTTGTCAAGACTATTTATAAAAATATTTCTCCATAATTTGATATAAAAGTTATATGTATAAAATGTTTTATCCAATATATCAAACTTTTAAGAGCTCTACAAGTTATCAGTCATACACAAATTTAAATATGTTAATAGTATTTTTAGAAACGACCTTCAATTAACTACAAGTTTAAATTTTTAATTTTTATATCAGATCTAATATAAAAAAAGACTAAATTTACATTCACCAAAATCAACAAGAAGAATGATTTTTTCCCCATTATCTCTTTTTTTTCCCTTGTTCCTATTGTTTTTTATTTTTATTTTTTTATTAATGGAGTATTCAACTATTTTTTGAATAAGCTATATAAGATAGTATTTTTTTAATTTTTTTCAGTGTGGTCCTAGACCTAGACATGGCCACGGGTCAATTAACCCGCCGACCCGGCCCGTTGACCCAGCACAGACCCGACCCGGTTAAACCCATTGACCACGGGTCCGGGCCCGGCTTGGATTTCAACCGAGCCAATCCCGGGTCGTATATTTCGACCCGGACTCGACGGACCGGGCCGGGTCAGGACCGGGACGGCACGAAAAAAGTGTATGGTTTTTGAATTTTTCTTTTTTTTTATTAGGGCGGGCCCGAACCCCGGCCGGCCAGTGGCGAAACCAGCCGGTCATCCCGGGGAGGGCCCAATTTGCCGCGGCGCACCACCCCCACTCCGGCATCGGAAGGGCGCTCAAAGGGCTTTTGTGGACGCTCTCAATAATTTTCGCAGGATATAAAGGAATACTCTAGAGATTTTTCTAAAAATCAAACTAAGTCCGGAATTAAACTGGTTTACTTAAACTGAATTGTTTTAACTCGAAAAATACATGAATTTATACTAATAAAAATCTCGGACGCAATTATAATAATAATAAAAAATTATACCTCCTTTCGAATAGACGAAAAGCTGAAAAATTTGAGAAAACGAAGCCTCGAACGATCGAACTCGTCCTCGACAAATTTGCTCCTTTTGATACTATTTAATGCAGAAATTCAAACTCCCATAATAAATGCTCAGAACTCCGAAAAATGCGAAATTTATCCGTATGGAATCATGCTTGAATTGTCTACACGCTCCAACTCAATTCTCGTTAAACCGAGGTCACAGGCAACCTTACGGAACCCCGCAAAACGGCTTTTTATTCTTCTATTATGCGCACTCGACTTCGAGCTTCTCAAAATAAATGCTCCAAACTTCGAAACGTGAAATAAATTTTACGAACGGCTTCTACTGTTCTCGTGCTTTCAAGAAAGCACTCCCGCTGATTTTCAACACGCCTAACGAGGGCCGACGGTTACCCGAAGTCTAGACATGAAAATGACAATAAAATCACCGTCACTGTCATTTTTCTCTCAACTTCGGGCTACCCAAAATAAATTGTCGAGACCTCAAAATCATAAATCGATGCCACCAACGCATTCTTCGCTTCCCGTACTTTCATAAAAGTATTTTTCAGTAATGATCGACTCGGTTTTTGAGTCCCGTCGGTACACCGCAAGTCGGCTAATTAACCAACTCAAAATATAATAAAAATGAAAAAATTATTAAATTCTGCTGCTGTTATAGTTCTCCTTGTTCCGAAACCAGGATCCCGTTCCAGGGAAGACCTAATTTATCTTTTAAAAAAATTTTCACGACAAAACCGGTGGCGCCCCTCCACCCATGTATGTACCGCATGAAACCGGGGAGGGCCCAACATGCGCACTCAAAGGAAAATCTTTAAGTTCCAGCAAAATCCTCCACCCCTAGTTTAATTTTTTATTTTTTTTTGGAGGGGTCGACGCCTCTCCGACCCCCCAAGTGCTTTCGCCCCTGCGGCCGGCCCGCCAGGTCATGGACCCGGCACGGATAAGCCGTGCCGGTTCAGGGTCTCCCAAACTCAACCCGTCGGCCCGGATTTTGGCCATGTCTACTTAGATCCACACTGGCCCTACAAAGCTACGCCCTGGATTGCAAGCTTCAATTGATGAACTTGTTTTTAACTCACGCGATCGTAAGGCATATTAATATGGATACTAGCTGCAAAGATGAAATTTTGGTATGTGCAAGTGTTCGATAAACAATTCTTAGATGAAATTTGCCATTCCATTTTCTCTGGTCGGGTCTTGATGATATAAAAGCTAGTGTCTTAGTTGCACCATGCAAAAACATAGCAATATGTAGAATTGGGACATTTAGACCTTAACCTTATGAGCATTGCCTTTATAGGGGGTTTTTGCCGTTAGATCACACACATATATGTCTGTGTGTGTGGAGCTAGGATTCAGAATTCTCGGGCTAAAGCTACTCGGGTTGAAGTCACCCAGGTTGAACTGATAGAATTGTAGAACCTGTAGAAGTCACCCGAGCATGAATTAGTTAAAATTTGTGGAAGCCACTCGGCTGAAGCCCGGGTCCGCCCTGTGTGTGTGGATCTGATGATTAAAATTCATAAAATGACAATG